GAGAGAGAGAGAGAGAGAGAGAGTCAGCAGAGCGTTACCGACCAAGCGCCCTGGTACACACATACACACATAGATCTCTACACGACACGATAATTCCTCTTCCACCCACCGGCTCTCAGCAGAACAAACACACGCTGCTTTAGCCGTCGCGTGATTTTATATCTTATGATACCTCGTCTCGTGATCTGGGCTACAACATAGCACGAGCAGTTACTTATACAACGTTGGGAAGGCTATATTTATGTGTGTTGTGACTGTGCGGCTGAGATGTGATTGATATTCCATGTATGATGTGTGTACAAGATCTCGATCTTGATCTCTAATCTATCTTTGGTACGTACTCGAATGTCAGAAGAATGATAATTAATGTAGAGTAAACATGTAGAAGAATAAATACGATCGAGTTAAGAGCACGGGTAGTCTTGTACTTGTTTTGTTTTGTTTTTCTAAAATTAAGTCGGCCTTCATCATGGAAACTGATTCATTGTTAGAAATTAATTTGCGAACCGATTGAACTCTGCGAAACAACAGGTCTACCACCCCCATGTTTAGGTGTACGCGTACGCATGCGCAGAGCAAGCAGGAAGTTAAAAGTGAAGAGGTAAACAATCTAAGGAAAGCACTTCCACTATCAGCTGACTGTCGTGTGTGAGGGTTTGACTAGGGGCGTCATCAGTTAGCTACTGTATCATTCAGTGTATGCCGAGCTCCTATCACAAGTCATAACCTTTTGAACCAAGAGGCCTTAAGTTCGATAAAGGAACACATTATATTCTATAGATGATCGTAATGCAAGTCTTGATCTCAGTGATTAGAATCCGATAATTATTAGATCTAGCTGGCGTCTGGCTGGTGATTGATTGATTATCATATTATTAGGCATAAATAGTTGTTCATCATAGATTTAAAAGATTGATAAAAAGCGATATTACTACTATGAATTTTCAAGGCACTAATCATTTGGCTGTTGAGGAGAGCATGGAAGAAATGGCTTCCGAACGAACTCGATTGTTGGGATCTGATTCAAATTCAAATGATGGAAGTGTGATTCGGAACAGACCAGGATACTCTCTTGGATCAAATTCTAGTAGTGACAATGAGAATGGAGAATCATCAGGACTAAATCAACACCTACACAGGTTGACACGAAGTTTAAGCACTGCTCCACCAAATCCATTTGAAAACGAGGGTTCTGCGAGTTCACGGAATGGTTCTTCTACGAGAACACTTGGCACATTTATGGGCGTGTTTTGCCCTGTTGCCATGTCCATGTTTTCAACTCTTCTTTATTTGAGAGCTGGTAAGTTTATAATAATTGAGATCTAGATCTAGTCATTATCCTTGAATGGGATAATTGTTGGAACTGTTTAGCATTTGACAAATGATTTGTAGGCCTGATAATTAGATCTTTTCTAATTAAATTTTATTTTCAAGAAAATTTCAAACTTGCTGCAAAATCAAATTGGCCGTCTTTATTCGGACTCGAGTCCGAATATGAAAAAATGTTATTCGGACTCGGGTCCGGAAAAAAGGAAGTGTCTTTGTTCTATAGATCTAACGTTCAGTGCTTCCTATTTTCCGCCATTTTTTAGGTTCCCCCACACCTTTTCTGCCGATCCGATGCCCGCCGCCTCATTGATCAACCCCCCCCCCCCCCACACCCCATGTTTTCCACTTTCTTTGTTGTAGAAAAAGGTAAAATTGAAGATTAGCAGACCACCTGGCACCTGCATATTATGAGCTGTGGTAAAAAAAAAAAGACCGATTCGTTCAAATACACAAGCCTGTGTCATCTCGATTGTTTACCTAGAAAAAGTTGTGTTGCTGTGTAGAGCTGAGCATACGGCAACTTTTGATTCCGTAGACTAGAGCACAATTCATTACGTAGATCTATGTAAAGACTAGCTTATAAATTATTGTAATAATGATCAGTTGCCGGGGGGAGAAAAGACTGACTTGTATGCGATGTTCAACACCTGGACCGATATTGCCCCCCCACCCCCCTCCCTGACACGCACACAGCCACACGTTTGCAGGCCGCCCATCCGACCCCGACACACACTAACGAGCCTTCTTTATTGCTTCTGATGACCTCTTGACAAATAAACATTTTTTATTAGAACTTTTCAGGCCGGCCTCAAAAACATCATAAGATAAAGACTCGGCTCCTGCACAAAATGCCATTTTGCCCGAAGTGATCCCAGTCTCTACCCAGCCTGAGGCGAGTCACGAGTGAGGCAGGACAGGAAGCCGGAGTCACGAGTCACAGGAAGTCGGAAGTGATGTCATGCTGGACAAGAATCAGAGTCCGAATAACATTTTTTCATATTCGGACTCGAGTCCGAATAGTCACTTTGAATCAAATTATGGGTTAAAAACACGGGGGTAGGGGGGGGGGGGGGTTGCACCTCTGTTACCCCCAGATTTTTTTTTTAACTTCAGGGGCCCCCTGATTGGTCCAAAGTGCGTAAATTACTACACAGTTAGGGTTAGTGTGATATAGCTCGATGAAAAACCATAACATAAAAATATTTCAAAAACTTTTTAATTTAGGTCGATTAATTTGTGACAGAATCGGAAATGAAGTTGATTGTTGATATTCTCGTGTTCAGTGCATCAATAGTATACATATTTAGTAGAAAATGGACAACTGTAACTGTAAGTGTGAGACTGAGACAGTACACTTCAGTATATACCTCTACTTTTATGCGCAGCATTTTTGTCCTGTATGACTATATATGTGCTCGCAGGCGTGTGTGCTTGTTTGTGTGTGTGTGTGTGGGGTGCGCGTGCGCACGAGCTTGTGTGTGTGTGTGTGTGTGTGTGTGTACAACTTTGTGTGGGGGTCTGAAAGCAAATGGCCACTAAAACCTTTGCAAATCAATTGTTTTCAAGAAAATACTAACCCTGATTGCCAAAACATCAAGTTGTGGTGAAATACAGGGGCGCGCCCTCCTGATACCCCCCAGATTCTTTTTAGGGCAGGGGGATGCCCCCCCCCTGAAAGCTCCCATTTCCATGTTGTTTAAAAATAGTCAAATATTACTTCGCCATTGGTCCTATTGTAATAGTTCGTATAAAAAATCCATATATATATATATAGCTGCTCTATAGGCTATATCTCATCAACTAATTATTTGCAATGGGTATATATATATAAAGTCAAAATTCATGTAAAGCAGATGAAAATGAACAAGAGAACTGTTTTCTAGATCTGAACATGAGAAGGGTCCATGAGTAAAAAAAAATACAGTGTATTATTTTACTTTTATACTACCATCTCATGCTCTGGTCTTGTATCCATAGAGCCGTTTTCTTGTCAGTTTTTAAACTTTGTATGACAGGAATATCAACTTTATTTCTTGCAGTAATAGTTTTGGAAATATCTAATTGGTATTTATTCATATATTACTCTCTACGCCTCAATTGCGATAACAAAAGGAATTTCCATGCTTTGGACCAATCAGCTGAGTCAGGGGTTTCAGGGGGAGGGGCATGTCTTCCTGAAGTTAAAATAAATCTCTGGGGGGTTACAGAGGGGCATCACATGTCTCCCGGATTTACCCCATTATTTGATATTTTGCATATTTAGGTTTCAAATTTTCATGAAAAAGATTTATTTGCAACAGTAAGAGTAATTTGTTGTGGCCATGTGTGTAATCTGCAGTTTAAAAAAAATTGTCCTGCAGTTTGACTCCCAAAGCAGTGCATATGATCTGTGCGCAGGAGTGAAGCAAAACAATTTACAGGGATGATAATGTAAAAGCTGATTAGAATAGTCCCTTTAGTACGTTCTGAGTCATAGATTTCATTGGAAAATTTGGTCAAGAGTGTCAGTTTAAACTGATATGACACGAAGTGCGTCAGATAATCTTGGTCTTCTAAATTAGGCATTTTTAAATGCAAACTCTTTCTCTGATTTAAGAATTTTGAACCATGTGTGTTACTTGGTTATGGGAGGGAAGGTCTTTCATCTTCAAATAATTCTTCTACATGTATCATTGCCTCAGACTATTTTGTCCAAAGTACCTCTTTACTGTTAAAGTACACTTTGGACAAAATAGTTCTGAAATGACGATGTATTTTGTCCATCTTCCATGGATTTCATTTTAATTATTTTGCCTTTTTTGTCTTCTACGTCAGTTGCTCTCTTGTTTATCTTCCAGTCAGTTCCTTAATACTGTTTTGATTTGAGAATTTATTTAGTGCCTTTCCCAGTCGCATCGGAGCATGGGTTCTCTTTGTAAATAATTGACAACAACAGGAGATTGGGCGGGCCGGCTCCCATGTGTCCTGCACCAATTTGATACATGTTCGATGTCAGTCACAGTGACAAAGTGGGTGGTTGGAGGGTGTTCTGGTGTGGTTTCCCCCTTCGTATCAATCAAATATCTGTCGTCCTTATTAAATCTCTTCTCCATCTTTTCTTTGTTATATAATTACACTGTAGCAACATTGAATATGATGACCTATTTAATTGTGTTCTCCTCCTTCTTCTTTTTGGTATTTTACTACTACTAATAATAAATAGCATTTGTATAGCGCATATCCCCGCTCAACAGCAGGCTCAATGCGCTTTACACTATATTATTACCCCAGCAGACCATAGAACACTCCGAAACATTCTCAGCTTCCCAGGAAGCATACAGTGCAAGCAGCTGATTTTTAAGGGCTAAAATACTAACAAACTGACAAGATCTTTCGCTGTCTATAGGCGGGTACCCATTCCCACCTGGGTGAAGTGAGGAAAATTTGTGTGAAGTGCCTTTCCCAAGGACACAACGTCGGGCCCCTGACGGGATTCGAACCCACAACCTTACGGTTGCGAGTCCGAGAGCCTAACCACTAGCAACACTCTTAATGTCATCCTATTTTTGTATTGCAAGTGCTGTAAAACTCTTTATTTATTTAACTAAACTAATTGTGACTGACCCTGCCGTCTCTTTCTTTTAACTAAAAACAAACAAACAAAAAATTACTGAACTGCCAAATCTGTTAGTAAAAATTATTCTGTTTTGAAGGAATGATATTTATGTTATATGATGTGCATTTTCTGCCTTCAAAATGTTTCTTTTTTCGCCAATCATGCTTTCATCCATGGAAGGATTGGCTGTGGTGAAGAACTCAAAAAAACCAAATTGAGTCATTTCCATGCATACTTTGTATATTGTGATTTGACACACACGCTGTTTACAATCTGAGAAAGACTTTGTAAAACTGACGAGTATTTATAACGTATAAAATGTGTGCGCTGAATTTCTGATGTTGCAAGGCTTTCGTCTGGCCCCTTATTTCTGTGCTAAGAGTTTTGCCTGTGGTTATTACTTCTGTCGTTGCTGCTATCATCTAAACTGGGTGGGTGGTTGGCGGGTGCTCTGGTGTGGTTTGTTCGTTTTTTCCTATCAAACATCTATCGTCCTTATCTCCCCTCCTTCTATTTTGTGTTTGTTACTCTCTTGTAACACACCTAGTCTTCAGCACATATATGACCTTATTGTGTTGCAAGTGCCGTAAATCTAAAAAAAGCTCAACTAAACTGGGAGTGATCGGGTGGGTGGTTGGCGGGCACTCTGGTGTATTCTGCTCCTGCTTTCCTACCTCTATCATCCTTGTCTTTTCTATTTCTTTTCTTTGTTTTTTACGTTCTAGTGACACCTCAAATTTTTTACACTTTCTTGACCTATTTGTGTTGCAAGTGCTGTAAAACTGTAACTAAAACGAAAACTGTCGTGAAGTTTTTGCTATTATCTTTACCGTGAATGTTTAGAGAGTGCTATTGTACGACAAGTGTGCACGCTTCATCTTTGTTTCTGTGTTTCTGTTGTCTTTGTGAATTTTTTTATTGTTGTGGTAAAATGTGTCCGTAGACTTGTCATAAATTACATGTTTGTCTCTTTTTCTTTGCTGGTAGTTCATGCTGTAAACTGTAGTATTGAATGTTGAAGACAACCTACCAAAAGACTTTTGTTTGAATTTATACGTTGTAACTTGAAAGCCATCTTACCCCAACTATAACTCATTACTAACAATAAATATATGGTTTGCTCCTTCTTTCCTATAAAAAAACTATAGTCCTTCTCTCTCCTCCTTTTTTGTGTTTGTTACTCTCTTGTGACACCTCTAATCTTCGGCACTTATATGACTTTATTGTGTTGCAAGTGCCGTACAAAACACTTACAAAAACTAAACTAACAATAACAATAAGTTGTTTCTCTGTGTTTCAGGATTTGTGGTCGGTCAAGCTGGACTGTTGGAGACCTTTTCTCAGCTCATCCTGGCGTACTTCATCCTGGTCATGACGGTCCTGTCCATCTGTGCCATCTCCACAAACGGGGCTCTGGAGGGAGGGGGAGCCTACTGTATCCTTTGTGTCTTGTGTCCAAGGGTTGTCGTAATAACAATGATAATAATAATAACAATAATGTGTTGAAGTTTTGTAATATTAGTAACTAGCTTGGTACTCCGTTTGATGAACGGACTCAAAAGAATCGATCGTCAAGTCATTGTGGGATCAGTGCGCACTGCATGTGAACAGAAGTCTCACTTGTTTACAATGGTGTCTGAGAAGATTGGCTTTTCCAAGATTAGATCTAAACGAAACTAATGAAAAACTGAAAATCAAACTACACTGACTTCAGACTCCTTGATATAACTGTGCACTGTTTAAACGATTTTGAACCACCGTTATTTTTTTCGAATTTGAAAGTTAAGTGATTCGAAAGTTTTAGGTGACCAAAGTGACGAGAACTTTCACCAATATACTATAGATGATGATAAAAGCTCCTCCATAAAGTCTGACAATGATAAGTAGGCCTACATCCGTGGAGGAGAATATTTCTCCAGTGAAATAGAAGAGTTAGGAGAATTAAAACAGGAGTTTGCCTTTCCCACGCTGAGGTATTTATGTTGAATTCCTTCAGAGACAGAGTGTCTCCGTAGCGCTTTAGTGTTGTACGGTAATGTTGAATGTCTCACTCACGTACATGAACTCAAGAGTAAGTCGTGTAGGACGTGTGTCATTAGGGGACACTGTGTGTGGCTGTTGTGTAGTTCAACATTTCATGAATATATATAATGCTTATAATCAAATTTCATGTGTGTAAATGGCGGGTGCTCTAGTGTGGTTTGCTTCTTCTTTCCTTTCAAATATCCATCATCCTTATCTTCCTTATCTCTCCTCATTTTTGTCTTTGTATGTAACTCTCTAGTAACAACTCTTATCTTTTGATATATGACCTGTTTTGCCAGTGCAGAAAAACTCGTACTAAGACTGAAAGAAAGAAGAAAGACAAATGTCTCATTCCCATATAATGTGCTCAGATTGAGTCCTTCAGTAACTGCTTCATTAGACATTGTTTTGTCTGGAGTGTTGGGAAACTTTTTATGAATCTGTTTATCATTTTTTGACAGTCCTCTGTATTTCTTTGATATTACAAACCCTCTATGACGTCAATAGAATGACAATTTTATTTTCAGATGACTTTCAAAAAGTTTTTGCCAATCAAAATTTCTCAGCATAATTTTTGTGTTAACAGTCACCTCAGGGCAGTTAGGGTGATAGAACTTAATATATTATATTATAAATATATATATATATATAAATATATATATATATATATATATATATATATATATATATATATATATATATATATATATATATATATATATAGCTAAACCCGCTTGAACAGCCACCTGTATAAGACGATCACTTGTACAAGCGACCACTTCCTATTCCCACTCCCCATCCCCGCCCAACCCCCTTGCATATTTTTTACCGTATACATTAGGACATAATGACGTTTTAAATAAGATGGCCACCTGTTTAAGACAGCCATTTTTCTTCTTGACAACGGGTGTCCATTTGAGACAATTTCATAATTTCGACTGTCTGTATCATATACATAATATGGTTTTGACTGCCAGAAGTCATGTCTTTTGTCTTCTCATAAGACTGATACTCTCCTTCATGAAGAAATGAAAAAAAAAATGTCGTACAGGTTTTGCAAATAATCTTCATTTTCATCATACACTACCAGCAATGCGTTGTTTTCCGTCTCTATTGTGAAAGAAATCAAGTATGAATGAGCCAAATCCTTAACCAGGACCCCCTCAGACATGATAAGCAGAGCCCTGGGCCCAGAGTTTGGGGGCAGTATAGGGTTTCTCTTCTATGTGGCCAACATTCTGTCGTGTGCCCTCTACACCACCGGCTTTGTGGAGGGAATCATTCAGAACTTTGGGGAAGGTGGTAAGTATTGTTTCGTTTCCTCCACTAGAGTATGCGAGCTATTTTTTACTCACTCTGGACAGGAAGATATAGTTGTCATGGTTTCTTTGTTGACTTTAAATAGTAATAATAATGATAACAATGATAATAATAATGATAACGATTATTCAGCATTTAAAACAGGCATGTGTGGTGTAGTGGTCAAGTGCTTTACATTTGCATGCGGGAAAATCGAGTTTGATTCAGTCTAGGGAGAATTTTTATTGGCATCTTTCTGCTAGGATGTTGTATTTCCTTAAAGCAGTGTCTTGAAAACAAACGTAATCTAAAGATTTAAACGAATGTGTAGGTCGCTTGAAGAGAGAATAGGGGGAATATTTTACGGGGATCTCTTGTCTAGGGCTAGTCCTTAAGGGGGTCTCTAGATGGCATTCAAATCTTATGCAGTCACGAGTGCCGCAAAACATCTACCTGTTGGTGGTTGGCGGGTGCTCCGATGTGGTTTGCTCCTTCTTTCCTATCAAACATCCATAGGCTTTATCTTCCTTCCTTCTATTTTGTGTGTTTGTTACTCTCTTGTAACGCCTCTAATCTTCAGTACTTATACGACCTTGCTGTGTTGCAAGTGCCGTAAAACTCTTACTAAAACTAAAAACTAATCTTCGGCACGTTTATGACCTTATTGTGTTGCAAGTGCCATAAAACTCTTACTTAAACTAAAAAAAAACGTTTACCAAACTGAAAGCGGATGAAGATTTCCAATACACCAGTGCAGTAGACACCCCACACCTCTCAAGGTATCCCCTCTCATCCACAGGCAGTCTGGTGAGTGGCGACTCATCCGGTCTGCCGGTTAACAACGAGTGGTGGCGCTACCTGTACGCGACCGTCTCCCTCTTCATCTGTCTGCTCATCTGTATCGTGGGAGGGGCCATGTTTGCCAGGACCTCCGCCATCATTCTTTTGGTGAGATTGTGTGTGTGTGTCTGTTCATGAGATTGTGTGTGTGTCTGTTGGTTGGTGAGATTGTGTGTGTGTGTCTGTTGGGGAGATTGTGTGTGTGTCTGTTGGTGAGATTGTGTGTGTGTGTCTGTTGGTGAGA